CACCACCGCGCCCACCACGCCGCCCTGCCCAGCCGTCACACCATCGACGCCACCGGGTCTCTGCTCAGACACCCACTGCACCATTTCCGTGTTACACGATGGGCCGAAATCGAGGCCGGAAAGGCGCGGACTCATTGCAGGTCACACAGCTTTCTTTTATTTTGGAGACGATCTCCGCTCCTGCGCGCAGCGCCGGAGGTCAAGCTGCGGATCAGCTTCCATCACACAAAACACCCAACACCCCCAACACCCACAACACACAACAAGCAGCATCCGACTCCGGTTCCGCCATTCCTCCCCGCCTCAGACCATCCGAGTAGCTGGGAACCACAGGCGGCCGACACCCCGCGCCCAGACTAAGTTTTTTGGTATTTTTAGTAGAACGGGTTCACCCGTGTTAGCCAGGCAATGGTCTCCGAATCTCCCTGACCTCGTGGATCCACCCTCCTCCGGCTTCCCAAAGTGCTGGGATACAGCCTTTGAGCCACCGCGCCCGCCCGCACCTCCTGTTTAGTGACCCCGGACGGAAAAACGGCCTCCCTTGCTCCCAGTCCTCGCTCTCCCTTTTCTCCACAAACCGACGGCAGCCGGACGCCGGCTCTGCCCCGCTGCGGGAGCTGCCCCGGTGAACCCGTCGGCCGGCGGGAGAGGAATCGCTTTGCTGGCGGGGAAGGGCGCGTGGCCCGGCCTCAGAGCGCCCCCTGCTGGCCCGCGCGTGCTGACGCAGGCGGGAGGAGCACGCGTTGCTGACGCTGGGAAGGATGTGGCCTGGGGGGGGGAGGCTGGGAGAGGTGGGGAGAGGGGAGAGGCGGGGTGCGGACACAGCTAGAAGGAAGGAATACGCTCTAATGCTCGACAGCACAATAGGGCGACTGTAGTAACAACGATGTATTGTGTATTTCCCAACAACGGGAGAAGAGGCTTTGGAATATTCCCAAAACATAGAATGCCAAGTGCTCGAGGTGGGTGATGGGATCCTAAATGCCCTGACCTGATCCTTACTCATCCTATGCATGCAACAAAACACCGTGTGCACCCCATAAATATGCACAAGCATTACGTGTCAATAAAAATGCATTTACACATTTTAAGGAGACAGTCTCGCTTGCAAAGGGCGCTCGCATGCCGGCTGCGAGTGGGCGTTCCGTGTGGAGCTCCGCACCTAGTGCACGGCCCTGGGGCAGGTCTGCCGTGGAATCCCACCTCTGCCACTCATCACCTGGTGACTCTGGCAAACTAGCCAAGCCTTCTGTGCCTCTGTTCTCTACGAACAAGGATTACATGAGGTCACATACAGAAAGCATTTAGAACAGCATCTGCCACAGTCTCTGCGCTCTGAAGGCTTCTGTTACCGTTCTTTGGGTTCTTCCTGTCATCCTGTGGAGTGGTTACTCTGATTATGCTCATGTCACCAAGAGAAAACAGCTCACTCTGTTAGCAAGTGGTAGAGTGGGGGCTCGAACCTAGGCAGTGAACTCCTGGGGTTCTAAGAGCAAGGAGAAGGGATGAGGCAGTTTAAGGTGCTGGGAGGGGATGGGACAGAGCCGCGACCCCGGGGCCCATGGAGACGGCGCTCTGCTTTCCTGCCCTCTCTCCTGCCAGCCTGTCAGCCTCCCACAGGTACTACTTCGAGGTGCTGCACAAGCAGAATGAGGAGGGCACCGACCACGTGGAAGTTGCGGTGAGTTTCCTGCTGCTCCTGCCTCTCCCAGCTCAGTTCCTGGCACTCATCTCCCCTTGTCCCTTGACCCCTGTTGGAAATCCAGCTACCTCCCACCTTCTGCATCTACCCTCTGTCTTGTCTTCCAGTGGCGACGGAATGACCCTGGAGCCAAGTTCACCATCATTGACTCCCTCTCGCTGTCCCTCTTCACAAGTGAGTAGGCTCTGGCCCTGCCCTGGAGATGGAGGCCAGGTGGGGCCAGCCTACCCTGGGGGATTTGGCAGGGGTGGAGGGGAGGAGGGAAGCTTGAGATGCTTGGGACACGGGTATGAAGAGGTCCAGAAAAGAGTGGGACTTTATGACCAGGAGTCCTTAACTCCCCAGGGTCAGTGACCCCTTTGAGAACCTGCTAGAAGCTCTCTGAGCCCTTGCCTCAGAAAAATGCCTTTGTCTACCCACCCACACACAACATTTTGAATACAGCTTCAAGGGAGTCCAGAGACTGTCAGGCTCACACCAGATTCAAAAACTCTGAGGCTGAGTGTGGTGGCTCACACCTGTAATCCCAGCACTTTGGGAGGCCAAGGTAGGAGGAGTTCGAGACCAGCCCAGTCAACATAGCGAGATCTCATCTCTACAAAAAATTAAAAAATTAACTGGGTGTAGTGGCTCATGCCTGGAGTCACAGCTACTGGGAAGGATCAACTGAACCCAGGAGTTTGAATCTGAAGCTGCAGTGAGCTGTGATTGGATCACTGCACTCCAGCCTGGACAACAGAGCAAGACCCTGTCTCAAACGCAAAACAAAACAAAACCCTGTTTTACAGATAAGGTAACCATGGTTCTTGCAGAGCCATAGCCCGGGCAGAGGAAACCTTTTCACCTGCCTTCAGTGTGTAGGAAGTGACCTCTTTCTTCAGTGCCATTTTCCATTTCATATCATTTCCCCAGTGAGACTCCCAGCCAGAGGCCCCACTGAAAAACATGCCATCCATAGGCCTCCGTGGCAGGTGTAGACAGATGCATGAACCCGGGAGACAGAGAGCAAAGAAGCAGCCAGCCCCCCACCCCCCTTCTCTGTGGCTTGCTTTAACCTGGACACTGAAACTAGATCACCTGGTTTCAAACTCAGCTTGGCCACCCATCCATTGTATGATGTTGGACAAATGACTTAGATTCTCTGTGCCAAAGTTCCTCATCTGTAAACTAGGAACAATAGTAGTAGTACGGAAGGCATGTGGTGCTTTTAGAGATTAGATGGGTTAATATTTGGGATATTCTTAGAGCAGGGCCTGGCTTCTTATTAAGTGCTCTGTAAGTGTTCAATAAACTAGGCGTACATAATGACAAATTTCTAGCAGTCCGCAGTAACACATTTTCAAAAAGAGGTGTCTTTTTCCAAGTACACGACACAGTCATGTGGGTCAGCCATGGGACTGGCAGAGGGGGCCGAAGGGAGATGAATCGTGAAGCCACCGCTGTGGCGGGAGCCAGAGAGAGGCCGCTGGAGTCAGGAGCCCCGTCTGCATCTCTTCCCTCCCCTTCAAGGGCAGTGGGGCTGCTGTGCTCCAGGCCCCATAGCCTCCTGCTGTTCTTTCCTCCCTGCGCCCAGATGAGACGTTCCTACAGATGGATGAGGTGGGCCACATCCCACAGACAGCAGCCAGCCACGTGGGCTCCTCCAATGCTCTTCCCAGGGATGAGCAGCCGCCCGCGGACATGCTTCGGCCTGACCCCCGGGACACCCTCTACCGAGGTAAGGCCTCAGCCAGCGCTTGGCATCCTGTCTGGGGACGCCGCACTGCCAGGTCCACTGCTGATGGTGGAGAAGACTTAAGAGACCTGTCACAGTATCCCAAACACCGTAGTACCTTTTATTTTCCTCATAAAATAGAACATGCATACGGAAAAGAGAGTATGTAAATACGTGTGAAAATATTTACGTGTAATTTTACAATTCTGCCTGTCATGACAGAGCAAACGTTTGTGGAACCACCACCCACGAGAAGAAATAGAATTAGAACCCGGAAGGCCCCCCGCACATCCCTTCCCAATCTCACGTGTCCTTGCCTCTTACTGGATTCCAGCTCTTGTCCCTTCCCAATCTCACGTGTTCTTGCCTCTTACTGGATTCCAGCTCTTGTCCCTTCCCAATCTCACGTGTCCTTGCCTCTTACTGGATTCCAGCTCTTGTCATCCAAGGAGAGAAATAATGTTGACACCACAGTGTTAGAGTCTCATGCGTTTTTCCTCTTGGGAGGGTTTACATTTTAAAAGATGGCAAAGATGGCCAGGCATGGTGGCTCATTCCTGTCATCCTGGCACTTTGGGAGGCTGAGGCAGGAGGATCGCTTGAGCCCAGGAGGTTGAGGCTGCAGTGAGCTGTGATTGAACCACTGCACTCCGGCCTGGGCGACAGAGTGAGATCCTGTCTCAAAAAAAAAAAAAGAAAAAGAAAAGAAAAGGCAAAGTTTCTTTACTCCTCACCCCTCTCAAAAAAAATGACAACTGGCGCGAAGGGGATGTTCAGCCCGTGGGAGGAAATCTGGTTATTGGTGCTGCATGAGGGAGGAGCCTATCTGGCGTCTTAGAAGTTTCTAGACCTTACTGAGGCTATCCCTGCAGTGACTCTAAAGTCAAACTGTGCCTTGGACCTGGGGCTGTGTCCTGAGTCCTCTGCTGCCAGGGTGCTCCTCAACGGCCCTGCTCCAGGTCCGTGGGGCAGCCTCAGCCACAGACATCGGCAGACCACAGCTGCCCCTTGCGGATAGAGAAAGGGCCCTACTCAGGGCAGAAGCTTCAGCCCCGGTTTCCGGGCCCACCCTCACCCTCATTCCTCTTCCTCCACTGTCCTCAGTGCCTCTGATCCCCAAGTTGCGTCTCCGCCACGTCCTGCCTGACTGTCCCTACAAACCCAGCTACCTGGTGGATGGGCTCCCTCTGCAGCGCTACCAGGGACTCCGGTTTGTAAGTCTTGCCTGGGTCGTGGCGAGCGGGGCCGGCAGAGGGATCGCTGCCTGTGACTGGGAGGGGAGGTGGTGAGGCTGCCTGTCCCGTCTTCCTGACATCCCATCCCACCAGATAGGACGGCCTTACAGGTCCCTGGGCTGGGAAGAACTTGCACTCCCGGATGCACTGCCCCGAATAGTCTGTCCGTCAGAGCCTGCTCGTGGGTGCTCTGCCTCAGGCCCCCCCCCCCACACACCACCTCTGCCCCAGTGATGATATCAGGCGGCCTGGCTGAGGCTTCTTACGCTTCCTGCTCCGAGGACCACACAACCCTACCCTGCCTGGTCAGTCCCGCCAGCCAGTCAGCCAGCAGGACTTCCTAAACCCAGAGAGCAGGCACTGGGGGAAAAAGAACTATGGAGGGGAAGTTAGCTTTAAAGAACCCGGAACCCATGTGGAAGCCAGACGGGCAGGGTGGCCACTCTCCTGTCCATCCAGATTTAGAGATGATTGTAAGGAAGAGCTGGAGGGCAGAAGAAAGAGGTCAGGAGGCATCGCCAGGTCAGAGGATGGCTGGGGTGTAATTGAGAAGTTCTTTGGTGGTGGTGACCACAAGCTATGCTTAAGGGGGGCAAAGGAAGCAGTGAAGTAAATAAGAAGAGGGGTTGTTCTAGGACTGTGGGAGGTTACAGGTAAAGGCTCAGAGGTTTCAGGAGAGGATCAGGTGTCAGAGGGAGGAAGGAATGGTTTTGGCTGAAGCTGAGGGATGGGAGCTGGTTCAGGAGAGATGTGGACCAGGGGCTTGACTCGGGTTGCATTTGGTCCACAGAGCCCAGGAGAGCTGGCATAACGAGTGGCATGAAAGCCCCATCTGCATCGCCAAACGTTTCATTCAGCGCTCAGAGCAGCCCTTCTCTCCCTGGCAAGGGCGGGTCCCCCGCGGCCCTGTGTGATCCCAGGCGGGGCAGCCTTCCCAGGGTCTCACTCTCTCACTCCTGCTGCTGATCTTTCTGCTTCCAGGTTCATCTGTCTTTTGTTTACCCCAATGACTATACCCGCCTGAGCCACATGGAGACCCACAATAGATGCTTCTACCAGGAAAACGCCTACTACCAAGACAGGTGAGACACACTGAGTGGGGAAGGAGGTGGCTTTGCAGGAGGCTCTGCAGGAGCCAGGGGAGCGCCTGGACCAGAGTGGCCGTGGTGGCATCCCAGCCCAACGAGTCTTGGCTCTTGCTCTTCCGAGTACTACACACACACACACACAGACACACACCGCTCACCCAGCCCGGGGAACCACTCACCAGCCCTCCTTCCTAACACCACAAACACATCCACCGTACCAGCTCCTTCCTAACACCACAACCGCTCACCCAGCCTCAACTTTACACACACAACACACACACACACCACTCCACAGCCTCCTTCCTACATACACACACCACACTGCTCACCAGCCTCCCTTCCTACACACGACACACACAACCACACCGCTCACCCAGCCTCTCTACACACACACACACGCTCACCCAGCTCCTCTCCTACACACACACACACACACGCTCACACCAGCTCCCTTCCCTAACAACAACACAACCGCTCACACCAGCTCTTCCTACACCACACACACACACACACCATACCCAGCTCTTCATACATACACACACACAACACGCCCAACACCGCACAGCCTCCTTCCTACACAACACACACCACACCGCTCACCCAGCTTCTTCCTACACACACAACACAAGACACACCTCAGCCTCCC